TCTGCAGTGCATCCACAGAGACCTAGCTGCCAGGAATGTGCTGGTAACAGAAGACAATGTGATGAAGATTGCAGACTTTGGCCTTGCTCGGGACATTCACCATATTGACTACTATAAAAAGACAACTAATGTAAGTGTCTCCCTGAGCACTGTTCCAACTAGCATTTGCCCATATAGATGGCTGTGCTGTAGCCTGGCTGGGTTGTTGTGGAGAAGCAGGTGGTTAAGATGGGCTGAAAATGTGCATACCACATCCTACACTGGATCTCCCATCCTCACTGTTCCCTGCTGCTCCCAGGGCCGGCTGCCTGTGAAGTGGATGGCACCTGAGGCCTTGTTTGACCGGATCTACACCCACCAGAGTGATGTGTAAGTTTAAAATAAGCAATTTTCAGGAATACATCTAAGAGTATCCAGTACAGAAGAGTCCTGCATTCCCTCTGGGTTGATGAATCTCCTTCCTAATTAGGGAAAGTACCACTGTTTTAGCATTAGAAGCCCATCTTCTCAGTCCTGTCCTCTGTGCTCCCCTTGGAGTTAAAGGCTTATTTGGCGAACCACTAAGAGGTTCAGGATGGATGGACATCTGCCATGCGGGCTTCTGAAGGGATCACTGGAAAGACTACAGTGGCTCTCTGTGCCTACAGGTGGTCTTTTGGGGTGCTTTTGTGGGAAATCTTCACTCTGGGCGGCTCCCCATACCCTGGTGTGCCTGTGGAGGAACTTTTCAAGCTGCTGAAGGAGGGTCATCGAATGGACAAGCCTAGTAACTGCACCAACGAGCTGTAAGCCTGAGCCAGGCCCTTGGGAAGAATGGGCAGAGGGAAGATTGGGCAGAGGGAAGGGAGTATGAGCCTACAAGCATGGCTCTTCCTTGTCACCCTCCCCCAAGCTCTACAGCCCATCAGTCTGCTTTTGCTCTTCTTCTATGACCTCATGATCCCACCACAGGTACATGATGATGCGGGACTGCTGGCATGCAGTACCCTCTCAGAGGCCTACCTTCAAGCAACTGGTGGAAGACCTGGACCGTATTGTGGCCTTGACTTCCAACCAGGTAGGGCTGCCCTGAACTAGACCTTAAACCATTATCATGAGGACACATCAGCTGAATACTGCCTCCTACCCATCATTCTCTCCTCTCCTATTTCAGGAGTATTTGGACCTGTCCATGCCTCTAGACCAGTACTCTCCCAGTTTTCCTGATACTCGAAGCTCTACCTGCTCCTCTGGGGAGGACTCTGTCTTCTCTCATGAGCCACTGCCTGAGGAGCCCTGTCTGCCTCGACACCCAACCCCACTTGCCAATGGTGGACTCAAACGACGCTGACAACCACCCTCTCTGACACTCCCTACCAAAGCTCCATCATCAGCTGTGTCCCTCACCCACAGCTCCCTGCTGAACTCAACTGCCTTCCCTCTTCCCTTTTCCTGCTGGCATGAGCCAGCTGCCTGTGTGAGGCCTTCTTGTGTGGCCTGTCTTCCCCTACCAAGCTCCCCCTTTCTCCTCTTCCTCAGTCTGCTTGTGAGAGGAGAACAGAGGCAGGTACTTGCTGGTAGCCACTTCATTCCCTCCCAAGTTTGGACCAATACTCTTCCTTGCCACCTGGCACTGCCTAGAGGACTGGCCAGGAGTAGAATGAGCAGGCAAGCGGTGAGAGCTTCCTGATAGTTCTTGTGTTGTCAGCCCCTTGCATTATGGTGGCAGGTGCCTTGTCCTCGGGCTACAACAGCAGGGAGGTCACTGCTTCAGGCCTCAGTTGAAGACCCTCTGTTCCAGATAGATGGTGCCAGTGGCTTATTAATTGTAGTACTAATTTGCTTTGCTGACCAAAATGCCTGGTACCAGAGGATGGCAAGGGTAAAGACTGGAGCAGTGATGTGGTCCTGGACTGGGGGATTTGTACATAGCTATGAAAAAACACTAAGTGTATAAATCTGAGTATATATTTACATGTCTTTTTAAAAGGGTCATTACCAGAGATTTACCCATTGGGTAAGATGCTCCTGGTAGCAGGGAGGCATCAGTTGCTATATATTAAAAACAAAGAAAAAAAAAAAGGAAAATGTTTTTAAAAAGGTCATATATTTTTTGCTACTTTTGCTGTTTTATTTTTTTAAATTATGTTCTAAACCTATTTTCAGTTTAGGTCCCTCAATAAAAATTGCTGCTGCTTCATTTTTATATTGGCTGTGTGAAAAGGGAGCAGATGTCCATCGGAAAGGAGGGATGCCAAGGGGCTATGTGCCATCTACACAGAAGGCACTGCATACTCTCCACTTTGCCTTGTGGTCTCTTCTTCAGGCCTTTGGTACAAACCCCCTACCTCTCCAATGCCATTGGAAAGGCAGGAAAAGAAGACATCAGCATTGTGGGCAGGAGCCCCAGAGGAGCTGGGCCAAGAGCCAAGGCCACAGCAGCCTGTGACCACAAATTGTTTCCTCAGAGGAAACTAAGAGTGGGGGGTGGGGGGGAGGGCCTGGAATAGCCAAGTCATAGAGCTGACGAGAGAAAAACAAGGATTATCTAGTGAGGGTCCGCAAGTACCCCCTTTGTATGGGCATGATCTGGCCTGTGCTTGTGTTAGGAAAACTGGTCAACTACAGCAGTGTACATTCAGGTCCCTTGTTTGTCTTTCCTGTCTTCCTGTGACCAGACTGCATTTGTTAGTCTGTTGCAGATCTTGGCTTCCTGTGCAAACTCCACCCATCAGTGCCTCAGGAAAGGGAAGAAAAGTCTGAACGGTTTTTTGTGTTGTTTTTTTTTTTGGGTTCAGGCTGCTTTGAAACTTGCTTCTGCCACCTGCTGGTTGTTCTTGTCCTGGCCAAGTGGATTCTGGCTCTTGGGTACTTCATTGTTCAACAGCCTCTATCCTTAAAGCTTACTTTGGGTGGGTCAACCACTGAATATAAAAGCATATTGAATCTTATGCTTTCATTCTGTAAGGAAAATGAAATTGCTGCTTTAAGTTTATCCTTTCTCAGCTGGGTAATTTTTGGAAGCTGCAGTGTTGGTTACCATTGTAAAATTCTCTTCTCTCTGTAATCATGCAACTGTTGACATATACTACAAATGTATTTGTTTTAATAAGGTATGATTTGATGAACAGAATCAGGAAGTGAGTTTCAGCTCTTAAAATCATTTGCTTTCAGACAAAATGGTAGCATCTTTTCTTTGTAAACCAAGCGATTGCTGCCTAGACCTCACCTTGACATGGTGTTATGTCAGTGAATGAGAATTTATATAAAGGGCTCTGCCTCCTGGAGAGGCTAGAAAAGTAAAAGGCACTAACAGTGATGTCCCTGCTGTTACTACTCAAATCACCCACAAGTTTCTCCGGAGACTAAGTTGGCTGACAAAAGACAGTGAAGTTAACCTGAGAAAATAAAATGGCTATTTTACTTTGATGACTATATGGGGGTCTCTTGGGAAAAGGAATTCAGTTTATCTAATGAAGACATTGTGCTGTCAAAATGCTGAATCTGTCTGGTTTCCTGAGGGTTAAAAGATTAAGGCCTGAGATCACCACAGAATTCATCAATCAATACTGCCCTTGCATCTTTCGTAATTGCCATAGGCTAGAGATCATCAGTCCCTTGGCTCTGCTAATGTAATATATTGATTTCAGGTAAGTAAGATTGAACACAGATGAAGCAAGAAATCTATCTTAATGGTAATGAAGTCACTGTTGATCAGCTACCACTGGATGGAGCCAGCAAGCTAAAAATCTCTGGTAGCACTAAGTAATGTGCCAGTCAGCTCTGAAGTAAAAATTTTGACCTTCCCTGCATGTCCTGGTAGTGAATAGGATTCTTTGGCCTGAAGTTAGCCATGTAATGCATTGATTGACCATCACTGATAGGAATTCTATTATAATTCAAGTACACAATTAGACATGGCACAAGTTCAGGGCCATAAATATTTTAAGTGCCACCAACAGCTATTGTAACAGAATTCTGTGAGATGCAGGCCACATTTAACATTGCTGCAGGTAGATATTAGAGAGGGTCTAAAATATTCCCAGTGAGATTAGCAGCAGCAAGCAGAGCCAGGCATCTGCATCAACAGGTAAGAGTAGAGAGCAATAAGAGGAAGTTTTGCAACAACCTAGCATGACTTTCCATTCCCTCAGCTGATGGGAGCTAGAAAAGCTAAGATCAGGAATGCAGATATTAAGAAGGACTTTGACTGGAGCAAGTCCTCTCAGCCAACAATAGCATTCAGAATCCTACATATCATACTGCCTCCTGGATACATGTCCAAGCACATTAGAATTGTTGGACTTAGTGACATGCTAGTTAGAGATTCACTTATCGTTTTATTAAAGACAGGGTCTCATGTATCCCAGGCTGGCCTTGAAGTTCTGGTCCTTCTGCTTCTATGTCCCAAGTATTTGGGGTTAGACATGTGCTACCACACCTGATTTCAATCTTTTGTCACTCCAGGATGGCTAAGACAGTGGTGTGCCAAAGCTGGTTCTCAGAAACCCACTATACATCACTTACCAGTTCTGCATTTAGTGGACTCATGTTCATAGCCTGAAGTCATCTGGGGGTAAAGGGAGAATACATACATCACTAGAATCTGAAAAGATGCTGCAAATCTAGGCTCTTTTCAGAGCGATACTCACTGTTTACCAGAGCACCATCAGCCAGCATTTGGTATAGGGATAGATCTAACAGCAATGAAACAACAGCAAAGCAATGAGAACAAAGAAACACCCATGACTTTTCTAGGGTAAGCTATTACCATTTGGATGGGGGGGGGGTATCAAGTGTCCTGTGTGCTTTAGTGAAAAGAGATGAAGGCAGACCATGGTCAGAAGTGACTAAGGCCCTTGACCTAACCATTCCTGTTTGGCTAACAAAGCTACAAAGAATTGTCACACAGCCCAGCAGCACGAATGACTCATCCAACTGAAACTGGATGAAACAGGTTAACTAGCTGTCTTTCCCATATTTGACACCTGAGATGTGCACTAAGTAAGATAAGACACCCATTGCTTTAAAAATGGGAATTTTATTGTGAATCATCTAGCTAGATCCGTAGAATGTTGTATTTGCATAGTAGGGATTCATTATCTGGAAGTGCAGTTAATAGGACAAGGTGAAGCTTACTGATAGAGAAGCTTTTTTTCTTTTGGCAATACTGGAGCCTGAAACTTGGCTTTGTGCTTGCTAGGCAAGGGTTTACCACTTGAGTTATGCCTCAAGACCTTTTAAAAAAAAAAAAAAGACTAAGTCTTGTTATGTAGTCCAGACTGGCCTTAAAATTCACTCTTGCCCCTGTTCCTTGAAAACTGGGATTATAAGTAGGCACCAGCATCTTGAAGCATTTCAAGGTGCATTTTCTTGCTGTAAAGTGCTGGGCATTTCTCATGTAAGTGATCAGATAGGACAGATATTTACTCGATATAAATCTCATCTAACTGCTTTCAATTTCACAGCAAATTTAATTTCATTGTGGACAGGCTGACATACCTTCTCCCCTACCCCAGGGAAAAAAAGCTTTTGGGTCAGCAGTATGGCAGTCTTGTCAAGTTGTTTCCAGTATTAATACTGGAATATATTTCCAGTATTACATAATCCAATATTATATAGTCCAGTGTTAATACTAGGATATACACAATACTTGTTACTGGATAGCACAGGGATTATGTATGACTGATTCCCTATGACTAACAGTCTCATTTGTGAAAGACAAACTGACCAAACACATCCAGAACAAATGTGTAAGCCTTACACCCTTCATTTTGTTTCCTAGCACAATGGTAACTAATGAAAGCCATATGTGCTACAATAATGGCCACCTTCCAGACTCCTGTAGCCTCTGTGGGCATAGGAGGTAGATGGATGTCTGACCAGCTAAGCAGCAGCCAAATCATTTTGATTGCCATGTTTAACTTCCCAATTTTTCTGATTAGGCCTTTCTGAGAAATATAGCCATCTTGTCTCAGGGTGCTTTGTTTCCAGGGCACTGTTCCTACTGGTGACCAGTCTGAAAAAGTTGGTCAGGTGTTCTGAAAATGAATTTTGGAGTCCCAAGTTTTGATTAGGGATTTTAAGCCATGATAAGCAAAAGTATCCAGGATGCCAAGCTGCTTCCATAATGTAGCAACAACAAAAAACCTTCTGAAAAGATACACACAAACAGGAAGCTGTTCAAAAACATGGTGGGGATAGGCTTTACATAAAGTTTAGTGTGATGACACAATAGTACAGAGGAATTGGGCTTTGAATTATGTCTCTCTAAATGGTCTGAACTTGGTGTCACTGCTGATCCCTGGAATGGTCACAAGCCCACCAAGTAGAGTAAATGGCTGATCCTCAAACCAGACACGGAGTCTCAGCTGGAGTCCTTCATGGATGTGGTGCTACTGCTGCGCTGGTCCTTAGGCTCCTTTGGAATTAGCCTTGCTGGTCTGAGAGATCTTAGATTTGGCCTGCAGGGTCTAGGTATAAAACATAGGACCATGGGTCACAACTGGATATGTTAAGTTCTTTGAGACTCCCTGTTTGGTTTTGCTGAAAAAAGAACTGACCACAAAGTTATATCTGTGTATAACCTACATTGGTACTAAAAATGAGGAAGACATGCAAGCAGAGCCCCTGTGCCTTTGGGTCATTTTCTAGATGCTTAGCCCATCTTTGTTCACATAGCAACTTGGAATGTTCAAAGCCACACCACAGTTCAATTCTGTGAATTCTCTACTGTTTACTTGTGTCATGCTGTCTGTCTGTCTCCAAATTCCTTCACCCAAATCAGAAAAATAGACACTTAAGTAATTTATATACACACACACACACACACATATACATATTTCTGCTAACATTTAAATTGCTTCCTAGTAGTATTTCCTGACACCAGAGGTCTTTGTAAGAAAAAAAAATAAAACATTCCATCTGGTGCATAGAAAATAAGGACCTTTGTATACTGTAATTTAGTTTTTAGACTTAACATGTTTAAGTCTGGTTCACCATTAAATTATTTGGTAAATTTGTTTTTTTTTTGCTTTTGGATAATGATAAAATACAGTGGTTATGAGATGACTAGAGTTCAACCTACAAGTTCTGGTTTGGATGACAGGACCTGTGCAGCATTTTTCAATAGTTAGAATTCTAGTCTCCCTATCCTTATAGATAATTAACTAGAGGGAAGGGAGTTTTTCTGAATACTTACAGCTTCTTGAGAAGAAGTGATGGATCCTTGGGGTAAAGAAGTAGGTGCTGATGGTTTTATGGGTGTTGATGGTACTGGGGGTAGTTGTATAAATTCTTCACCCTTAAACATCACAACTGAGGGTTGGATTACTGATTAAAACAAAATGTATACTAGGTCTACTATCATGACTCAAGGAATTTATAACAATTGATTCATTCACCAGCGCAGGATTTGAAAGGCAAAATCTGAAATATAACATCAAGTAATGGAGCTACATACCCAGCCCAAAATACTAAACTTAGAAACATGCAGTATAATAAATAAGCCTTAGGAATGCTAGGGGCTTAAAAGAGAAAAATTAGTTAATTCACATAAGTCCTCTAACCTTAGTTCCTTTCAGCTGAGGTGCACGATCTACCATATTCTCTTTAGATTCAGGGGAGGTAGGTGATTTCATAGAAATGTTTGTCTTTGGAGCCTAGGGAAAAGAATATTTTACATAGTATAAGATCTCTGCTGCTCTTTCAGAAATTTGGAGGGTCTTTTACAGTTACTCTGCTTCTAATAGCATTGGTGTAACTTAGTCAAAATTGACACCAATCATTTTTTCTATCACAAATGGTAAATTTGTCTGACAAAAATGGTAGATAATATTTAATATTCATTTAAAATGTTGGAAAGAAGCCAAGCATCAATGGCTCATGCCTATAATCCTCGTTACTGAATAGGCTGAGATCTGAGGACTGCATTCAAAGCCAGCCCTAGCAGGAAAGTCTGTGAGACTTATTTTCAGTAAACTACCAAAAAAAGCTGGAAGTGGAGCTGTGGCTCATGTGGTAAGAGTGCTAGCCTTAACTTAAAAAGAAACTTAGGACCTCAAAGGGAGGGAATGAGAGAGAAAGAGGGAAGAGCTAACACTAAGCAAAAGGAAAGAAATATATATATCACCTGATTTGGAACAAATAGTTTTTTTTTTGTGAGGGGAAAGGTCTGGTCGTGGGGCCTGAACTCTGGGCCTGGGCGCTGTCTCTCAGCTCTTCAGCTCAAGGCTAGCGCTCTACCACTTGAGCCACCATGCCACTTCTGGCTTTTTTCTTTTTTGTGGTGCTGAGGAATCAAACCCACGGCCTCATGCATGCAAGGCAAGCGCTCTACCACTGAGCCACCTTCCCAGCCCCGGAACAAATAGTTTTATTGTTAAAGTTCGTAGAGTTCATAAGCTTTGTAGATTAAGATGATGATTATCTTTGTGAAGGTTAAAATGTGTTTGCGACTTTAGCTAAGTATAACTTACAGTACTGTGAAATTTCTGTAAACACTTAATCTCAATAAAGAAATATTAAAAAAAAAAAAAGCTAGAAGCTTAGGGACAGCACTCAGGCCAAGTTCAAGCCCCAGGATGGAGACACACACACACACACACACACACACACACACACACACACACACACACACACACGCACGCGCTCAGCTGGGCGCCAGTGGCTCACTCCTATAATTCTGGCTACTCAGGAGGCTGAGATCTGAGGATCAAAGTTCAAAGCCAGCCCCGGCAGGAGCATCTGTGAGACTCTTACCTCCAATTAACCACCAGAAAACTGGAAGTGACTCTGTGGCTCAAGTGGTAGAGGGCTCACCTTGAGCTAAATATAAATAGCTCAGGGACAGCGCCCAGGCCAGAGTTCAAGCCCCACAACTGATCAAAAAAAAAAAAAGCTTAAAAGAAGCTCCTGAGAAGCTGGGGGCATATCTCAATAGTAAAGTGAATGCTTAAGTGTGTGAGCCCTGGGTAACACAAGGAAAATGGGGAAGGAGGGATACAATAATAGATTAAATTAGGGACTGAATATCTAGCTAACCTAACTTTAAGAATCACTAGATTTTAAAAATTTATAACCAGGTGCTTGGTGGCTGACATCTATAATCCTAGCTACTTAGGAAGCTGAAATCTGAGGATCTCAGGTAGACAAATCCTGGAGACTTGTCCTTAATATACAAAAAAAAAAGAGGTATGGCTCAGGTGGTAGAACACCATCCATGAATGAAAAAAATTGAATGAGAGCTTGAGTCCCTGAGTTCAAGCTTCAATATTGGCACAGAAATAACAAATTTAAGGCGAGCACCAGTGGCTCACACCTGAAATCCTAGCTACTCAGGAGGCTGAGATCTGAGGATCACGGTTCAATGCCAGCCCGGGCAGGAAACTCCGTGAGAGTCTTAATAAACCACTTGAAAATCGGAAGTGGCACTGTGGCTCAAGTGGAAGAGTGCTAGCCTTGAGCTGAAGAGCGCAGGGACAGCACCCAAGCCCAGAGTTCAAACCTCATGACCTGCAAAAAAACAAACAAATAACAAATTTATGCTCTGTGGAAATAACTTGTGTACTTTGAAGGAAAAGAGTCATGTAAATCCAAAATTCTGTTCAATTCCGTGTTTTTCTTTTTTTTTTTTGGGTCCGGTCGTGGGGCCTGAACTCGGCCTGGGCGCCGTCCCTCAGCTCTTCAGCTCAAGGCTAGCGCTCTACCACTTGAGCCACAGTGCCACTTCCGGCTTTTTTCTTTTTCTTTTGCTTATGTGGTGCTGAGGAATCGAACCCAGGGCCTCAGGCATGCAAGGCAAGCGCTCTACCACTGAGCCACCTTCCCAGCCCCCCAATTCTGTGTTTTTCTAAGTTATTTCCAAAGCCAGAAAGTGACATCTGGATAAAGACTCCCTACCCATCAAGAATAATTTTGAGAAACAGATTTAGCTTGACACTGCACTCCTTCAAAATTACCTTGCTCTTGAGAGCAGGCTAAAAATAATGATTAACTTTGGTCTGTCCTAAGTGGGCCCAGAAGTTAAATCAGGAATTGACTAGCCTGCCTTAATAATCTGCACTACAAAATTGTTTCTAGTTTTTCTAGAACCCACTGTGGACAAAACCAAAACCAGATTACCCTCTGGAAATGAGAGAAGGCCATATGGGTATTTCCTAGAGTAGACTTTTCATGTTGGTTTCAGATAGTTATCTTTGATGTGTGCTAGGAAGGGTCAACAGCATTCCTTTCTTTTTTTTCTTGTCAGTAATGGGGCTTGAATTCAGTGCCTGAGTGCTGTCCCTGAGTGCATCAAGGCTAACTCTGCCACTTTAAGCCACAGTTCTACATCTGGTTTTCTGGTAGTTAATTGGAGATAAGAATCTCATGGACTTTCCTGCTCTAGCTGGCTTTGAACCATGATCCTCAGATCTCAGCCTCCTGAGTAGCTAGGATTACAGGTGTCAGCCACCAGAACCTGGCTCCTCAATAGCACATTTTAAGGTTAAACATATCAGTCCTAGCTCAGGCTGATATATATATATATATATAATCAGTCCTCATTTAGCCAAAGCTACTAAAATAAATCACATGTGCAGCATTTTTCTTTTTCACTCATGAAAATGGAATTATACTGGAAGCAAGACACTCCAGTACTTAGGCCCATCCTGGACTGGTTCTTCATGTGCTCGGCAAATTAGTTACGGAAATAAAGTTGAAGGAAGACAAAAAGTTAAGTCTAGGTTAGCCATTACAAAAAAAAAGTCTGGATACAAAAAAAAATTCAGTTTAAAAGGAGAGAAAGAACAGAAGTGAAATAAAAACAGCAAATAAGGACCACGTAGTTAAAGAGTAAAACTATTAGTAAACTTAGTAAAATTCCTGTGTCAAGCGTAAAGGCAGTAGTACTCCTATGGCTTGCAATAGTCTGGGTAGATTTGTGGGGAGGAGTGGAAGATAGAACCATGGCCTCACACACATAGTTGATCACGAAACTGTACACACATCCACAAAAATTCTGCGTGGCTTTAGAGGACCTTTGGAATTTTTCTAAAATATTGCATAGATGGCAAGGTAGTAGGAGAGAATGGTGAAAGGGGTAAAACTGATCAAGATGAATTATATACATAACTGGACATGTTAAATTGAAATTCCTTTGTTATAGCTACTTGAAGTTTTGTTGTTTTTTTTTGTTTTTTTTTTTGGGTCCGGTCGTGGGGCCTGAACTCTGGGCCTGGGCACTGTCCCTCAGTTCTTCAGCTTAAGGCTAGCGCTCGACCACTTGAGCCACAGTGCCACTTCCGGCTTTTTTCTTTTTGCTTATGTGGTGCTGAGGAATCAAACCCAGGGCCTCAGGCATGCAAAGCAAGCGCTCTACCACTGAGCCACCTTCCCAGCCCCAAGATTTTTTTTTTTAATGTTAAAGCCACTTGGTCCAAATTCCGAAAGAAATGCTTTCCTTGACTGCAAAAGGAGACAAACACTGGTGGAAAGGTTCAGTTATGGAACTCCAGATTTTCTTCCAACCTTGTTGCTTACCTTTATACTTGGTGGTATCTCAATTGGCTTTGGTTTCACATCTATCAGGTAGAAGGTACGTGAGAGGAGCAAAAGAGAAGGAGGGACATTTTCCTTTAGGTGGAGATCCAGCCACTGGAGATGGAAGGACATAAAACATAGTCATCTACTTTTGTTACACCTTCCTCTACTACATGCTGTAACCTCTAGTAGAATAAGGATAAAACCACTAGCCTCCTAGGTAGGCATCAGGGGCTCATGTCTGTCAGCCTAGCTACTCATGAGGCTGAGATCTGAGAATCACAATTTGAAACCAGCCTGGGCACTTAAGTCTATGAGACTCTTATCTCTAGTTAGTTGGCAAAAAAAAAAAAAGTCAATCTTATTAACTCAAACCAATATTAGAATGAGAAAGATTAAGTTTTTAAGAATTGGCCAACTCTTGGAGGGTTTTTTTCTTGAAGACAAGGTCTTTCTAGGCTATCTCAGTCTCCCAAGTGCTGAGATAACAGTGTGATGCTTGGCCTGGCTTTCTTTTTGTTAGTTGTGGGGCTTGAGCTCAGGGCCTGGACACAGTCCCTGAGTTCTTTTTGCTCTAGAATAGCCCTCTACCACTTTGAGCCACAGCACCACTTCCAGGTTTCTGGTGGTTAATTGGAGATAAGTTTCATCCTGCCCAGGCTGGCTTTGAACCACCATCCTCAGATCTTAGCCTCCTAAGTAGCTAGGATTACAAGAGTGAGCTACCAGTGCCCAGGAGCAGGATTTTCACTTTTTTTTTAATTTAATGATATTCAGGGCCTCATGCTATGCAGGTGCTCTACCAATTGAGCCATGTCTCCAGCTCCTGGCCAAACTTTTTAAAAGAAGCATTTTTAGATCATAATTGACCAAAAGACAACTCAAAAAGTAATGTATTTAATAAAAACAAGTCTGGGGCTGGGAAGGTAGCTCAGCGGTAGAGTGTTTGCCTTGCATGCATGAGGCCCTGGGTTCAATTCCTCAGCACCACATAAGCAGGAAAAAAAAAAAAAACCTGGAAGTGGCGCTGTGGCTCAAGTGGTAGAGTGCTCGCCTTGAGCTAAGAGCTGAGGGACAGCGCCCAGACCCAGAGTTCAGGCCCCACGACGGACAAAAAAAAAAAAAAGTCTGCCTCTATCCCTATTCTCTAGCTATCCTTTCCCCTGGAAGCAACCATTGATACCAATTCCACAGACAATTTTCCAGGGTTATCTTATGCACATACAAAAAAATAATAATAAGGGCTAGGAGATGGTAGCTCACACCTGTAATCTAGCTACTCAGGAGGCTGAGTTCTGAGAATTTAGCTTCAAAGCCAGAGAGGCCAGGAAAGCCCATGAGATTCGCTCTTCCTCCATAGTCTAGAGTGCTAGCCTTCAGCAAAAAAAGCTTAGTGTCCAGGCCCTAGGCTCAAGTCCCAGGACCAACACACACACGCACACACACACCACAAAAATCAGGGTCTTATTTAGCCAAATCTAGCTTCAAACTCTATTTTCTTGTCTTGACTACCTGAGTAGTTGGGAACCACAGGCATAAGCCACCACCCCTGCAAATACTGTCTGTCCTTTCCTTTATTTTTTTTTTTATACTGAAATATCTTGGAGATGGATTCATATCAGTAGATTTTAAATATCTGTACCGAATTCTGTTGTATAGAAATGCCATAATTTGATGATTCTCTTATTAATAAACTTCAGTCTCCAGTCTCATTGCTATAAGTAGTGCTGCAATGATACTCATGTCATTTTAGGATAAATTCCTAAAAATAAAATTGCTAAGTCCAAGTGTTTGGCGTATTGAAGTTTAAAAGATAATACCAAGCTGGGTACCAGTGGCTCATTCCTGTAATCCTAGCTACTCAGGAGGCTGAGATCTGAGGATACTGGTTCAAAGCCAGCCAAGTCCATGAGACTTTCCTAGAAAACCAGAAGTGACACCGTGGTAGAGAGCTAAAAAGCTCTATTGAAAAAGCTCAGGGACAGTGCCCAGGCCCTGGGCCCAAGCCCCATGACTGGCAAAAAAAAATAATACCAGCTGGGCGCTGGTGGCTTATGCCAGTAATCCTAGCTTTTCAGAAGGCTGAAGTAAGGATTACAGTTCAAAGCCAGCCAAGGAAAGAAAGTCTAAGACTCTCATCTCCAATTAACGACCAAAAAAAGCTGGGAGCTGTGGCTCAAGTGGTAGAGAGCTACAAAGCTTGAGCTAAAAAGCTCAAGCTCAGGAACTGTGCCCAGGCCCTGAGTTCAGCCCTAGAACTGGCACACAAAAAAAGATAATTCCAATTACTGTTGAGGACTTTACAAGCAATGCATGAGTACTCTTTCTATCCAAGGATCAGAGTTTAATACTCTAAGCATTGCCAATATCATAAGTTAATGTAGTATGTCTTAGTTCTAATTTATGAATAAGGTAAAATATTTCATATGGGTACCATTTTATGTTTGTAAAAGTATTCAGTTGCCAAGTATAGTTGGTCCTGCATGTAAGAGAAAAACTAAAACCTAATAGGCGTTTAAAGGCACAGCACTAGCCCCTATTACAAAATAATATAAAATTATAAAAATAAGAATTATGAGCTGGGAGCATAGCTCAAATAGAAGGGTTCCTGGCTAGCATGCAGTACCTAGTACTGCCAAAAATAAGAGGAGAAAAGGGGAAGGGAGGGCAGAGAGGAAGAGGCAAACAGAATAGGAATAAATTGCTTTGTATTTAAGCAGTAATGCCTTTAGTTAAAATACAAATATGTTATTTGAAGGGCACTATTAAACATCTATAACCAAAGCAAACACTTCTAATTGATTAGGGGAACTAAGTGGAAAAGCAGCTTCAGGTGGGCTACCAGGCATAATCTGGATTTTTTGACAGACTGGCAAGCCTCAGAATTTCTGCCAAGTCCCTTACTGTGCATGGAGTAGGCAAATTCTAAAGTGGCCCACGATTCCCCTATCTCTGGTATATCCATACCTCCACATGTTCAAATACTACTGTAGGTGATACATGGAAGGATTTTGCAGATATAATTAAGATTCTATGGCAGCTGATTTACAAGAAGGATATTATTCAAGTGGGCCTTGTATAATCACATGAGCCCTTTAAATTTGGGGCTAGCTAGGGGTCAAACATGGGAAGTTCAAGATTGGGAACACAAGAAGAATCTGAATGTGAGAAGTCCATTGCTGGCTTTGTAGATGGAAGAGGGCCAAAAGGTAGAAGATGCAGGTGGCCTCTTAATGCTGAGAGCAGCTGGGGGCTGGCAGCTAGTGAGGAAGCAAGGATAAAGTCCTTGTTCCTACAGCTGCAAGGAACTACGTCAGCCAACAAAATAAATGATTTGGAAGTAGATTCTTTGCTATGCCCTTTAGTAAGAAACACAGGCTGTACTGGAAGTGTGAACTAAAAGGCACTGGTTTGGTTTGTTTGGTGCCAGTATTTGGGCTTGAACTCAGGGCCTAGTCATTCTCCCTTAGCTTTTTTTGCTCAAGGCTGGCAACCAACCCCTTAAGCCACAGCTCCACTTCCAGCATTTTGCTGCTTAACTGGACATAAGAGTGTCACAGGGCTGGGAAGGTGGCTCAGTGGTAGAGCGCTTGCCTTGCATGCTCAAGGCCCTGGGTTCAATTCCTCAGCACCACATAAGCAAAAAGAAATAAGCCAGAAGTGGCGCTGTGGCTCAAGTGGTAGAGCGCTAGCCTTGAGCTGAAGAGCTGAGGGACAGCGCCCAGGCCCAGAGTTCAGGCCCCATGACCGGACCCAAAAAAAAAAAAAAAAAGTGTCACAGACTGGTCTGGTTCTGAACCATGATGCTGAAACCTCAGCCTCCTGAGTAGCTAGGATTTCAGGCAATAAGCCACCATTGCCTGGTAATAGGCATTGTTTTAAGCCATTAAAATTTGTGATACTTTGGGCTGGGAAGGTGGCTCAGTGGTAGAGTGTTTGCCTTGCATGCCTGAGGCCCTGGGTTCGATTCCTCAGCACCACATAAGCAAAAAGGAAAAAGCTGGAAGTGGCGCTGTGGCTCAAGTGGTAGAGCTCTAGCCTTGAGCTGAAGAGCTGAGGGACAGCGCCCAGGCCCAGAGTTCAAGGCCCCACGACCAGACTCAAAAAAAAAAAAATTTGTGATACTTTGTAATACTGCTAGAGAAAAACTAGTGTCCTGTTCCAAAATGCCAAGTGTAGCTTATTTCAGTGTCCCACTGCTCAATGAAATAAGGCAAATTAGGTAAGATGGTTTACTTATTTGGATCTTAAATATCCCCTAAGGCCCATGTCATTCTGAAGGCCTAGTCCCTAAACTTGGTGCTGCTGGAGATAGGAGATGGGTCCGAGTGAGAGGAAGGTCAGGTGCTGGAAAATGCCTTTGAAAGAAATACTGGGACTGGGACTATGGCTATTTTTTTTTCCTTTTCCTAACCACAAAGGGATGAACAGACTGCCCCAGCCACATCTCTGTATGATTACTATGAGATCACAGTCCAAAGCAAGAAGGCTAAGTGACCATGGACTGAAAGCTCTGAAAGTGTAAACCAAAATAGATTTTTAAGTTGAATATCTCAGGTATTCTGTCACAGTAACAGAAAGCTGACTTAACAAATTTGCAAAGTAGAGATCTCAAAATGAGGTCTGCATATTGTATGAGAGAGAGTCCCAGTGAAGAAGGCCAGGAATGCTGTTGCTTGCCTCTGTGAACTGTTGTCGTAGCTGTTCCTCAGTAAGACCCAAGGATCTCATCCCTCGGGCCCTACAGGCCGCTTGTAGTTCTGACACACTCAAATCCTTCACCCCTTCTTTGGCAATCATCTGCAAGAAGTATAAGGAATCTTTTGATTCAATTTTGCATAATCCCATATGCCAGCAAAATACACAGAAACATAGAATTGAGGTTTTGACTCTCCCTTGCACTGATTTCTGCAAAGGCCAAGACCGAAAAGTAACAAGGGGACTAGGAAGGCAGCAGTTGAGATGCAGGGTATTCTTGTAACAAATATTAATAATAGAGAAATTCATATAATTTATTCCATATACATACATATATATACATATATGTGTGTGTATATATATAATATACATATACATATATATTATATATATATGTATATTGTCTGTCGTGGGGCTTGAACTCTGGGCCTGGGCACTGTCCCTCAGCTCTTCAGCTCAAGGCTAGAGCTCTACCACTTGAGCCACAGCACAACTTCTGGTTTTTTCTGCTTATGTAGTGGTGAGGAACGGAACCCAGGGCCTCATGCATGTGAGGCAAGCACTCTACCACTAAGCCACCTTCCCAGACCTCTTCCCAATATTTTGCTAACAAGTATTTCCCTTCTCAGTTTATGTTTGGCCTGCTTGTGGCATCCTTTTCTTCTCATAGCCTTTTTTGGGGGGTTTATTAGAAAAAATATTTTATTTGAAAACATTTCAAGATACTACCTGTTGCATGTCCCACTGCTACTCCCCCACCCCGACCCTGCCCACTGCCTCTACCCAAGAAATGCCCTTAACTCTCTAGTCCACAAAACTCCCTCAAAAAATAACCATACTTTCCACTTAATGTGATTCAAATCTATGGTACTTCTGGGATCAATATTGGTTCCAAAGTTATGAAAGCAACATCTTAAATATAAATGGAGTCAGTGGGATCATGTTTTCTCAGTTCCCTGAGATAGAATGCTTTATAGCAGCTGATTCAGATTCAGGAAATATTTTCAGGGGTGTGTGTGTGTGTGTGTGTGTGTGTGTGTGTGTGTGTGTGTGTGTGTGTGTGTGTGTGTGTGTGTGTGTGTGTGTGTGTGTGTGTGTGTGTGTGTGTGTGTGTGTGTGTGTGTGTGTGTGTGTGTGTGTGTGTGTGTGTGTGTGTGTGTGTGTGTGTGTGTGTGTGTGTGTGTGTGTGTGTGTGTGTGTGTGTACTAAGGCTTGAACTGAGGGCCTTAAGCTCTCACTTGACTTCCTTGCTATAGCTGGTCCTGTACCACTCAAACCACCCCTCCAGTCCAGCATTTTGCTAGTAATTAGAGATGTTCTTTCTAGGGGTTTTCTGCCTGGGCTAGCTTTGAACCAAGATCTTCCAGGTTTTGGCATCCCGAATAGCTAAGATTACAGGAACAAGCTACAGGTGTTAAACATTTTGTTTTGTTTGTGGTACTGGTGGTTGAGCTCTAGACCTTACATTTGTTGGCAGGCACACTATAATCTGACCTATGTCCTTAGACCTTTTTTACTTTATATAGTTTTGGAAAAGAATCTAGCCTAGACAACCATTCTCCTGTTTACATCTCCCATATAGCTAAAAAGATAGGCACGTGCTACCAAGCCTAGCTACTGGTTCTTGTTTTATGTGGTGTCTGGCCATGAACCATGAACCATGATCCTCTTGGTCTCAACCTTCTGAATAGCTGGGATTATATGTGTAAGCGTTCATGCTAAGTTATTTCCAGTTTTGAAAGAAATCTAATTAAGTTATAGTCTAAATGGTGCTTTCTGTAAGATGTCTAGGTCTTGCTTTTCCTCCCAGCATTATGTGTTGCCACCCATTTCCTCCCAGTCCAATTTGCCCATCAGAATATTTACTTTGGCACTATCCCCTGAGTGGGGACCAGAAGTGTGGGGATGTGGCCTTGCCAGGAATCTACTGAGCTGCTATTTCCTTCCCAGCATGTCCTAACTGCTTTAGATTAGTCCCAGCTAAGACATCAAATAAAGACTGCTTACAATGGCCTTCTCAATAAAATAACCCCCAGTACAGCAAACAATTCCAAAAAATGAGTAATCAAGGTTCAAGTAAGTTGTCATGGTAATAGTTGTTTAAACCACTCATTTTGTCAGAACCAGTCCATGACTAGACCCAACAGAGAATACTGCAGTTCATCACAATGTTACCTGAAGGTGCTTCCCAGTGCCTTGAAATCCCCTACAGCTATGGTTAAGCTCTTACTTCATCATCTGCTTTTATAGACTTCAGTGTCATCAAGAGCTGAAAGCGGAGCAAATTGTTGGTTCCAAAGGACTGCAATTCTAGCAGTTTGCAAAGGGCAACCAGCTGAGGTCGATCTAAATGCTCCAGGGCTAGCTGATCCTCAAAGAGTTTGGAAAATCGAACTATCTCCTTTGTGCTGGGCCTGTGGCCTGTCTGGACCTGGGCAATGGAACAACAAAGTTAATTAAAATGTATGTCCTACTGAAGATAAACATTCCAGTAGACTATTTGAAAGAATTGTCAAAGCAGTTATGAATTCTACTTACTGTGCAAAAATGGATCTTGTGTTTCAAAGAAGAGTAAAGAAATCTGCCTGAAGTCAAACTAAATCATCTGAAAACTTAGGAGTAGTACAAAAGTTTGACTAATTCCACCATCTTTCCAAGAAGTTAACATTCTCAACACAATTACTTTGGGCTTTTCTGAAAATTGCTGTAAATATTTACAATGTCATATATTTATAACTTAGATTTTTGCAACTAACAAAGATTGTGAGCAATTTGGAAGATCCATGATAACATGAATTTTTCATGTAACTCCAGCCCAGAAGTGTTTCATATGATTGAAAAGACTGACACCTGTTTTACGTAGGATGAGAACTGTGTTGAAGCATCTCCCAATTTGGCTTTGTTCCTCTTTGCCATTTCTGTAATTGTTTCTTGAAGGAACTTTGCTAGCTCCAACTTTGCAGCCATTTTCTTCTTTTGTCTTTCTTCCTTAATATTAGAAGAGGAAAAAGTTAAGTTAGGACGGAAGAAAAAACTGTTACCTTGCTATTGATTATCCTTAAAACAAGCATTGTACTAATGTGCAGATCTAACTGAATGGGTTTCGTGAGAACCAGAGCAAAGCTAAAGTAGCATCTTTAGCTTGTCTCCTTGATATTACATCTATTTCTCATGAATACAATAATCATAGCATTTGACTGACCCAAAATGAAAGGCTTTGTCATTATGAGGAATAAAATGGTATCTCTTTTTTTTTTTTGGCTGGTCATGGGGCCTGAACTCTGGGCCTAGGTGCTGTCCCTAAGCTCTTCAGCTCAAGGCTAGCACTCTACCATTTGAGCCACAGTGCCACTTCCAGCTTTTTCTGCTTGTATGGTGCTGAGGAATGGAACCCAGGGCCTCATGCATGCAAGGCAAGCACTCTAACACAGAGCCACCTTCCCAAGCCAAGATGGTATCTCTTAACCTCAAACTATCAAGTAGCATCTTGGCTGCTACTTGAATAAACACCTGGTTTGAGTAATCCCAGATTCTGCTCTATAAACAAGAAAATAAGAAAACTAACTATCCTAAAATAGTATAGAGTTTAAATAGAAAAGATATAACTATAATTTGTTCTTAAGTGCTATAATAAGTATGAAAAAAGTCACTACAAAGAAGAGAGTTAACTGGATGTCCTATAGATACTACATTGAGTCATATTTTGTTAGTCCTTATTCATCATCAGAAATGCAGTGCTGTTGGATGCAAGCTTGTAATCCTAGCTACTCAGGAGGCTAAGATGTAAGGATCCAAGTTCAAAGCTAGCCTGAGCAGAAAAATCTGTGACACTCTTATCTCCAATTGAACATTAAAAAGCTGGAGGTGGAGCTGAAGTGGCTCAAGTGGTTGAGTGCTAGCCGTGGGCAAAAAAAGCTAAGGGACAGAAACTAGGCCCTGTGTTCAATCCCCATTAGCAGCGTAGCATGCACACTTGCACACACACACAAAAGAAGTCATGAAATGACACGGGCAAACTTTAAATGTATATTGTTAAAAAGAAGTCATCCTGAAAAGGCCATATACAGTAAAAAGACCAGTGGTTGCCATGAGCTGGAGGAGGAACAGAGTAGGGACAAGCAGGAAGAATAGAAGGGGCTTTTAGAACAGTTTAACTATTCTATACAATACTGTGAGGGTAGATATAGACATCAGTACAAAACGGAGAACTGTAACTACCAAGAACGAAGCCAAATATCAAGTATGATATTTGGCTAATAATGATATATCAATATGGGTCCTTTAGTTGTACACATCACTTCACTGATGCTGGATGTCAATAATGAAAACTTAGGTGAGAGGTGGGAATGGTACATTAAACTCTACTCCCTGCCCAATTTTCCTGTAAACTACTTTTTCCTGTAAATTTCTTGACTCTTTTTCTGGTTCAAAGTACAGAATTCTGTCTGAAGTCAAACTAGATCATGAAAAATAGTCTTTTTTTTTTTTTGCCAGTTCTGGAGCTTGAACTCCAGGCCTGGGTGATGTACCTGAGCTTTTTTGCTCAAGGTTAACATGCTACCACTTGAACCACAGCTCTACCTCTGACTTTTTGGTGGTTAACAGATGGTATGAGTCTTAGACTTTTCTGCCTGGGCTAGCTTTGAAACTTGATTCTCAGATATCAGCCTTCTGAGTAGCTAGGATTACAAGTGTGAGCCACCAGCACTTAGTTTAATTTTCTTTTTGCTTTTTGGTAGTGGGGCTTGAACTCTGGGCCTGAATGCTGTCCATCAGCTCTTCAGCTCAAGGCTAGCACTCTACCACTTGAGCCACAGTACCACTTCTGGTTTTCTGGTGGTTTATTGGAGATGAGTTTCACTGCCTTTTTCCTCCAGGGTGGCTTTGAAACATGATCCTCAGATCTCAGTCTCCTGATTAGCAAGGATTAAAGGTGTGAGCCACCGCCACCTGGCTTAATTTTAAGTTAAAAAGAAAAAAAACCTTACCTTTTTGGATTCACTTTCAAAAGTTGATGGCAACATATTTGGGAAGAGTTTCACAAACAGTGGTATCAGAAACTCCATGAAGGGCACAATTACGAATACCATAAATGGAACCAAGCGGAAAACATCAGCACAAGTTCTCAACAACTAGAGGAATGAATGCATAAGAAGTACTCTATTATTTTAGGGCATACCCAAAACAAATTAACCCAAATCAAGCCTGCCTTGGTCCTTACAGTCTTAAAAGAAAGAAAGAAAGACAGGTTTTCTGCTACTCTGTGAAATATTTATGAGATTATCTTCAAGAAAATCTATAACATATCAGGCTGGGAAGGTGGCTCAGTGGTAGAGCGCTTGCCTTGCATGCCTGAGGCCCTGGGTTCAATTCCTCAGCACCACATAAGCAGAAAAAGCCAGAAGTGGCACTGTGGCTCAAGTGCTAGAGCACTAGCCTTGAGCTGAAGAGCTGAGGGACAGTGTCCAGGCCCAGAGTTCAGGCCCCACAACTGGCAAAAAAAAAAAAAGAAAAGAAAATCTATAACATATTATCTTCAAGAAAATCTATAACATATTATTGACATTGCTTAAGGATGCATATATTAATGACATAGCATTAATTAAAATTTATTGGGTTTTGGCTTGCCTGTTTGTGCTGGCACCTGGACTCGAACTACAGGCTTTGCATGCTCACAGCTGGCATTCTGCTGGTTAATTGGATAAGAGTAGGGTCTTACCAACTTTTCTGCCCAGGCTGGCTTTAAATGATCCTCAGTTCTCAGCCTCCTGAGTAGCTAGGATGAGAGGAGTAAGGCTGTGGCACTTGGGTTAAAATTTACTGTTTTGTTTGGTGATAGGATTTTGCTATGTTGTCCGACTGGTCTTAAATTCATGGATAAAACTCATCCTCACACTTCAGCCTCTCCATAGACATATGTTGCTGCACTAGACTTTAAAATTTGTTTTTAAATATGTATATGTTTAGCATATTAACACTTGTACTTATGCATTTAATTTGATACCTCTTAAGTCCTTTGGCAGATTAAAAGCACAATTGTAATCATTCTATAGGCAAATATATTTTAAAAAAATTAAGTGAGGGCTGGGAATGTGGCTTAGTGGTAGAGTGCTTGCCTAGCATGTATGAAGCCCTGGGTTCAATTCCTCAGTACCCCATAAACAGAAAAAGATAGAAGTGGTGCTGTGGCTCAAGTGGTTGAGTGCTAGCCTTGAACAAAAGAAGCTCAGGGACAATGCTTAGGCCCTGAGTTCAAGCCACAGGACTGGCAAAAAAAAAAAACAAAAAACATTAAGTGAAAGTTTGTTACAGACAAACTCAGAAGGAAACTCAGGTTGTGTGAAAGCTGCAGGTATCGCACAATGGTAGGGTACTTGTCTGGCATATGCAAGGCCAGGGGTTCCGCTCTCAGCACTACATGAAAACGAACTCCGGTTCTCACCAGTATTTATCATCCCCACTTTAGTATGTGAATTGGGGAAGTGTCCAGGCAAGCTACTTTGACATTTTTAAGATAAAGTTTAAGATGTGTTTAAAACTTGGCTCTTACCAAACCTAGTGGCTCTAATCCCAGCTACTCAGAAAGCTGAGCTTGGGAAAGGTCAAGACTAGCTCCAGCAAAAAGTTAGCAAGACTGTATCTGAACATAAAAAACTAGATATGGTGGAGCATGCCTTTAACCTTAGGTGCAAGGGTCAAAACTCAAGACCCTCTTCAAAAGATAACTAAAGCAAAAATTGGTTCCAGGTATGGCTCAAATGGTAGAGTGCCAACCTAGCAAGTATGAAGTCCCTGAATTCAGATCCCAGTATTTAAACAAAAAACCCAGTTTGGTTCCAAATAAATCACATTAAATTTCACATTTTCTTCCTCACATAAGATTCTTTCCTACCCTTCGTCTTTCTCGTCTGGTCAGCACCTGTCCATGCAGCAGTCTCCAAACCATTCTAGCAGCAACTTTGGTGTCAATCCAAAGTAAGTGGAATCCGTTATAATAATATTTAAATTCATCAACGATTTTTTGTCTGAAAGATCGTTTTCTTTCATTAATCTTTGTCTCAGGTCTTTTTGTGGACTGAGGACTTGTCTCTTTTGGATTTTCTGGGGTTTGTTCCAGCTGATGTTTACTAGGGCCCTGGTGTAGCCAACAAGTTGATGTGTGTGGCTTTTGGATTAGTCTAGTTCGTAAGTGAAGTCCTTCACTGTCTGACTGACTGATATAGGAGGAGTACTTCTTACTTCTGTAGTTCTTCACATAGTTCTTACTTAAATAATCTGGCAAGTGAAGAAATGCAAGCGATGGAGAATAAGAAGAGCAGGTAGGAAGCACAAAATGGCTAGGGAATCTGGAATAAAAAGCATATTCTTTCAACACAGAGCAGTACAAAATAATTTTTTTTGTTTTTCTGTTTTTTTTTTTTTTAGTGCTGGGACTATAGCCCAGGGCTCACCATCCTGTAAGGCTATACCAATGAGCTGCTTTTACCATACTCCTAAATATAACTTCTTATCCAAGCTTAAGTATAGTATGTTTAATCACTGAATGTGTTCTATTAAAAAAACTAATAAATTAATCCCTAAGTATAATTTGCTATAAGACATTAGAGGTTTTATTACAAATACCTACTAGCAAACATTTTTCTGTTAGAGATTATGTCTGATAGTGTTGTCGCCAAATACTATCATAAAATAGATAGAAGACCTGTGTTTTTACCCATGCTACTGATAATAGGAATTTTTAAGGTACACTTAGTGGTCTCTGTGGTGATTAACCAATCATATAATACTGTTTTTTGTAAGTATTTTCTGTGGTCTCCTTCAAATGAAAGGAACTTCATGCAGAAATGCCTTCTCCAAAATTTCTCAAGAACATTAGGAATAAGAATTAAAATTGAGTACTGTGACCAAGAGTCTATATATTATAGTATGGTAACAACTGACCATCTTCAGTTAAACTGGAAAATAAAAGTAAGACAAGCCAGGCACCAGCGGCTCATGCCTATAATCCTAGCTACTCAAGAGGCTGAGATCCGAGGATCACAATTCAAAGCTAGTCCCAGCAGGAAAGTCTGCAGAATTCTTTTTTTTTCTTTTTTTTAATTGTGAAAATACTGTACAGAGGGGTTACAATTACATGGGCAAGATAATGAGTACATTTCTTATCAAGCATTGTAGCCTCCTCCTTTGTTTTCCCTTCCCATCCCTTTCCATCCTTCCTCCCCCCTTCCCCTCCCCACCCTACCAAAGTTGTAAAGTTCGTTTTCCACATAACTACTTATACATCTCATTATTGCAATGAGTCCACCTGTATCCCTATTTAAATGATTTGTTTTTTCCCTTCCCCTCCACAAATTATACGGACATCCAATACAGTGAAAGTAGGGGTTATACCGTGGGGGAGGGACATACAAAGCAACAAAGAAATAATTTTATAAATGTGTTAGAAACAATCGCATGAAAGAAAAAACATTTGAATATATATCTTAGGGTTCATTTCCCTAACATCAACTTATCTGACCTTTTCTGCTTGACTCAGACATATACTAGTTATTGCAAATAAGTAAGATTCTTAAGCCACAAAAAGCTACAAGGAGATGTGTGGCTCAAGTTGTACAGCCCTAGCCTTGAGTGAAAAAGTTAAGGAACCATGCCCAAACCCTGAGTTCAAGTGCTAGTACTTACACACACACACACACACACACACACACACACACACACACACACACACACACACACACACACGAGTTCTGAGCAAAGAAAGTTACTGGCAAAGAGACTTCTGGCAAAAAAAATGGCTTTTCCATTCTTTTATTTTTAAAGTATGCCACAACATTTTTTTAAAGTAAAAATTAAAAAAAAAACACTCTTAATGGCCAAATTGGAAAGTGTACAGTATATTTGGCACATAGTAAGTTCTCAGTGAATTTTATGAATATATAAATAAGTGGTAATAGGCCTTTCTGAGAGACAGGCATATATCCTAGAACTGTGGACTAGCCTTTTATTCCTTTCTAAATCTGAAAGCCTTGTTTTATATCCACAATTTCAGAGGCATTACCCTGAAACTATCTTACCTGTCCTACACATCTACAAAATTATCAGCCTAATTTCTAAAGTTTAAATACATTAAAATGCCAAGATTCAGCACAGTTAAAAATCAGTGACATTGTATACTAAGCCAATCCTTTCATAAATATACTTTCCATCCAGATGAATGAAGTTCATATACCCGTATGGGAAAGGGACATTTCTAAAGCTTACCTTGTCCGGACAATAGCTAAGACTGAATGATAACTGTAGAAGGCCATATTTCTGTCTCAACTAACCAATACAAGAGACCTAGGCAAAAGAGTAAAGAAGTTAGTATTTAAAACAAAAACAAAAACATGGCTGGGGCTGGAAATGTGGCTTAGTGGTAGAGTGCTTGCCTTGCATGCATGAAGCCCTGGGTTCGAGTCCTCAGTACCACATGCACCGAAAAAGCCAGTATTGGCACTATGGCTCAAGCAGTAGAGTGCTAGCCTTAAGCAAAAACAGCTCAGGGACAGTGCCCATGTCCTGAGTCCAAGCCCCAGGACTGGCAAAAAAAAAAAAGACATAGCTGGGTGCAGGTGGCTCATGCCTCTAATCAAGAGTCTAAGATCTGGGCTGGGAAGGTGGCTCAGTGGTAGAGTGCTTGCCTTGCATGCCTGAGGCCCTGGGTTCGACTCCTCAGCACCACATAAGCAAAAAGAAAAAAAGCCTGAAGTGGTGCTGTGGCTCAAGTGGTAGAGGACTAGCCTTGAGCTGAAGAACTGAGGGACAGAGTTCAGGTCCCACGACTGGATTCCCCCCCCCCCCCCCCAAAAAAAAGTCTGGGATCTGAAGATCACAGTTCAAAGCCCATCCAATTAATCATCAACGCTGGAAGTGAAGCTGTGGCTCAAGTGACAGAACAAAAAAAGCTCAGGGAGCACCCAGGCCCTGAATTCAAACCCCAGGACTAGCAGGTGTGTGTGCACACACACCATCAATTAAAAGGTATCAGGATTTAAGTTTTTAATTATAGCAAGAACAGAAAATTTGCATATTCAAAGTGCAAATCTCCTTCAAGTTCATTCCAACAACTGTAACATTTTCCTAGCTCGTGAGTTGGAGATCTCAGTACATACAAAAGATCTGTAAGATGATGATGCTCATGGAAGTGGCTTGGCCTTCCCATTTTAATTTCTGGTCAGAGATCTGAAATATCTAATAACCTGCAAAGGGGGGAGGGGTAGTATTTAAGAAGGTAAGAAAGATATCCTCATTTTTAGCCTAAAAAAATAATCTGAAGCCAGGCGCCGGTGGCTTTACACCTGTATTCCTAGCTACTCAGGAGGCAGTTCAAAGCCAGCCCGGGCAGGAAAGTCCGTGAAACTCCAATAAACCACCAGAAAACCGGAAGTGGCACTGTGGCTCAAGTGGTAGGTGCTCTCCTTGAGCTGAAGAGCTGAGGGACAGCGCTCAGGCCCAGAGTTCAAGCCCCAAGACCGACAAATATAATAATAATAATAATAATTAACCTTTATTCTATTTGATCAAGCTATCCCAGCCCTTAAGTCTGAGCTAAAATCGCTCCCGTGCAGGTGAAAACGGGTTTTCGCGTTAGTGATTCTCCAGAGCTTTGGATCCCTTTAAGCTTCAAGCCTTTCTCCACCCTGCAGCGTTGTTCAGCTAGGACAGGCGGTACGCAGTTAACTGGGCTTAGAGGGTCACACTGGAACGGAAGACCTCAACCCCTGAACTAACATTCTGATCAGGGGATGGCAGAACCTCTAAGGCAGCCCATGGCGGAGGGCACAGGCTGTAGGAAGGCCAGACCTGCCCCGGCGGTTACGGAGCGACCCAGGCTGGCACTCCCGCCCTGGGCAGCAGCACCCCCTTGGGTTTCTCACAGCCCCACCCCTCCCCTGGGGGTTACCTGCGTGTCTGGCGCGTCACCACGCAATGCAAAACGCGTCCTCCGCTTCCTCAGCCCGCGGCTTTGGGGAGTGGGGTTTGGGTGGGCTGTGGTTGGGGTGAGGTCGCGGGAATTTTCTCTGTTTGTGGGAGATGCAGGGCTGGAGTAGGCCCGGAAAAGACGGCCCTCGGGAGTGATCCTGGTTGTAGAAATCAAGACGAGAGAAGCAGGGCGCATGGCACAGAGTGGAAATTCGGCGGCGACGCGCGGGAAAGGGGGTGTCGTAGAGGCTGAACTCCCAAGTTTGGAGGCTGGGTAGGGGACGAAATCGAGGGCGGAGGAGAGCAAGGTGGGATGGGGGCGCTGACGGGAGTAGGAAGGTGCAGAGGAAACGGGCTCCAGGAGGTGGGACGTGAGCCGCCCACCGGGAAGTAATACCGGGACCACCTCTACTTCCTCCTGGGGCCTGCCTCTACCTCCACCGCCCGCTCCCCGGAACGGCCGCCGCGGTCCTCCCAGTTCTTTCCCACTTCCTCCCCCACCCGACAGCTAGAAAGGCCCCGAGGCCTAGCCTCTATGGCTCCACCTCTTGCCTCTCACCATGACGTCACTGAGTGATGACACCACCATCCAATGAGCTTTCAAATGCTATGGCGCTCCTTCCTGGGAGCCCGCCCTCCAGGCCTTAAGGTCTCACCTTACTCGATAAGACTTCTCGATTGCCTTTAGTCCAGGAAGCGCCGGTGGAGTACACAGCTGACGTTTCTCTGTTTATCCACAGGATGCCAACCCTCCGAGAAACCCTGAAATAAAGGCTAGATTAAAGGGGATCTAATCCTAGTGTAAAGTCGGATAGTCGCTATGGTAACCGTCTTGGTATCACGAATGACGTCACTTTGATGTAGTTTCCTCCTCCCACTCACAACTCGGAAACTGCCTTTGGGGGACCTGAGAGCTGCGGAGGAGATCGAGGGGGCGTGGCAGAGGGGGAATGGGAAGGAAAACAACCCTCTGGCTTCACCAGAACGCAAGACAGGAAAGCCGAGAAATCTTTATATGGCAAAACCTAAATTCTTCTGAGAAATGGTCACTTAACAAGTGTTGGTTATGAACAGTAGTTTGTGTAGAAATCCCAACATCTGAAGTTTATATTTAGCATAGCTGTAAAATAAGTCATAGCACATTTGGGGGCACTTCGTTTCCTTGAATAGCAACAGTCTTGGCCCAGTGAAAAGATACAGAAATATTCTTATTTGCCCGTTCTCTCTTCCCATCCATTGATTTGGCTCTTCTTTTTTCTTTCTTTTTTGTCAGTCGTGGAGCTTGAACTCTGGGCCTGGGCACTGTCCCTCTACCACTTGAGCCACAGCACCACTTCTGACTGCTTTTTGATTTATGTGGTGCTGAGGAATCGAACCCAGCGCCTCATGCATGCGAAGCAAGCACTCTACCACTGAGTCACCTTCCCAGCCCCGGCTTTTAAAGACGAAAATTTAGTGACTCAGCTAACTCCAGACAATAAGGAGTCACTCTCTCACGGAGAATCCTATTCACATGTGAGCCAGTTACAGGCTTTTTTCATCTGGGCAGCACATGTGTGAGGATGGAAGATGGCGGGATTAAATTTCAGTAAGAACTGCAGACTATTTCGAATCCAGAAACCATTTTCAGCTAATAACCAAATAGGATCAACTATGTAAAGTAGATAAAACTTTTCAGTTTAGCCGCTAGAGGTCCCTTTGTGAATGTCTGATACCCAACTTTCCATATAAAGGTTTCATCTCACGTTTTATGTTTACTAGAATTAAAATCTACGCATCTTTTCACATCACTTTTCCCTCCCTGAAAATTCACAGTGGATAATGTTTTAGTTTTAAAGGATAGGTATAGCCTTCATACCCATTTTGCAAACATATCACTCACTGTATTTCCACATACATGTACTTTTTTCTGGAAAAGATTAGAAAGGATACAAAAATATTCCTCTCAATTCATTGGGAGACATTTTCTACTGGGAAATATTCATGCATTGTATTTACTTACAACCAGACACAGTAAAAACTCATTAAGTATTCATAAGGCAGATGAAGGATTCCTTGCCCAGTTTCTGAAAGATGAGCTAGGTTTCCTACCATAGCCATATGTCAGCAATTTTTTGTTAAAGGATGAGGCTAGATAAATTTTAACTTACAAACATCACAAATCACAGCATGAATTATTAAAAAATATTTTTGATATTCTAAATGTGATACACAGAGGGATTACAGTTACGTAAGTCAGGTAATGAGTACATTTCCTTTTGGACAATGGGGGGGGGGCCTCCCCTTCCCTGGCTCTCTTACAGTTTTTTTCCTCCTGTCCTTACATACAAGTTGTATAGTTCACTTTCAATATAGTTTACCCTTTGCCTTCATTTCTGTGACACCCCCCCCCTTTGCCCTCCCAAAGACAGACAAATGAACTAACAAAACAGAAAACAAAAAGAGCAAGAAAGAAAGAAAGAAAGAAAAAAACTAGCCGGGAGCCAGTGGCTCACTCCTGTAATCCTACCTACTCAGGAGGCTGAGATCCAAGGATCGAGATTCAAAGCCAGCCCAAGCAGGAAAGTCCCTGAGACTCTTATCTCCAATATACCACTAGAAAATGGGAAGTGGCGCTGTGGCTCAAGCAGTAGAGCGCTTGCCTTGAGCTGAAGAGTGCAGGGAGGACAGCGCCCAAACCCAGAGTTCAACTCCCACAACAGACAAAACAACAACAACAAAACCTCTTGTTTCCATTTCCTGGAGTTCATTTCCATAAATATTATTTTATATTATCAGAGGCACATAGACATTGCACCTTTGTGTTCCTCCACTAAATATCCTCCTTTGGTCTCTTTGTGTGAATGCCTGTATAGTTTATCATGTACTGATGTATTTTAGATCTAGCTTCCACATATGAGAGAAAACATGCACCACTGGTCTCTCTGATCTCTCAGTCTGTCTCTTTCTTTCCTTCTTTTCTTTTTTTATATGACAATACTTGGGGTTTGAACTTAGGGATTTGCCTTTGCTAGGAAGCACTCTATCAAGAGCCACACCCCAATTTAGCTTTCTTTTCCAGTAGTCTTTGGATATTGGCCTCATAAAAAGGAAAGGTGAGCTAGGTTTTCTACCATAGCCATATGTACTCAATTCTTTTTTCTTTTTTTGGTTCGTCGTGGGGCCTGAGCTCTGGGCCTGGGTGCTGTCTCTCAGCTCTTCAGCTCAAGGCTAGCGGTCTACCACTTGAGCCACAGCGCCACTTCTGGCTTTTTTCTTTTTGTTTATGTGGTGCTGAGGAATCGAACCCAGGGCCTCAGGCATGCAAGGCAAGTGCTCTACCACTGAGCCACTTTCCCAGCTCTGTAAGCAATTCTTTTTTTTTTTTTTTTCCTGTAAGCAATTCTTAAAAAAAAAAAAAATGCGGGGCACTGGTGACTCATGCCTGTAATTCTAGCTACTCAGGAAGCTGAGGTTCAAAGCCAGACTCTTATTAATGACCCCCAAAATCTGGAAGTGGGGCTGTGGCTCAAGTGGTACAGCACTAACTTTGAGCAAAAGAGCTCAGTGACAGCACCTTGGCCTTGAGTTCGAGCCCTGGACCAGTACCAAAAAAAGAGAGGGTATGTTAAGAACACCTCTTACTATTTGTTCAAAGTAATGTCTACCTTCTCTAGGCTTGCAATTTCTTTAGTTTTGGTATAGATTTGCTATATAAAGAGTTCTTGTATATAATTCAAAATAGAAAAACAATTTCTCCGTAATTATGTTAGATTTATCTTGATGACCTGTTGTCTATAGAAGGTGTTGGATGCTGAAAAAATGTTAGTGCCTATTTCCCTAAGACTGGCTTCAGGTCAAAGAAGAATTCTTCATCCATGCTTTTTCAGGAACACTGAATACTTCACAGAATTTCAATTTTAAACTTCTGTTGTTAGCATAACTACTAAAAGCAGCTAAAATTAAATTTCTGGGCACAATTTACCAACTTCTCTAGGGGAGAATCCAGGTGCTAGATCAAAGGGACAGTTTATCACCGAACTAGGTTACAGGAAGGTAGAAGAGGATCATATAGGGGTAGAAGACCAATTTGTCTCTTTCCAGAAAATAGGCAAACTAGGTTCAGGTGCCTTCCTTGGCCATCTGTACTTACGTGTTTATTTTTGTGCCTGTACACTCAAGGCTGGTGCTCTACCACTTCCAGTTTTTGTTGTGTAACTGAAGATGAGTCTAACAATTTGTCAGTTTGGGCTGGCTTTGAACTGCAATTTTCAAATCCAGCCTCCTGAGTAGCTAGGATTACAGTCAGGAGTCATCTGTTTTGAAAAAGAATATTTGTAATGAAAACTGAATTTTATTTATTCCTTTAGCTTGTAGTGTTATACAAAGCACTGGCCATTGGCATTATCTAGGGCAGAAGTGCTTGAGCTTAGAATTTGGAGACCTGAGCAACATAGCAAGTCCCAACTCAAAGTACATTATTATTATTATTAGCCAGTCCTGGGGCTTGAACTCAGGGCCTGGGTACTGTCCCTGAGCTTCTTTTGCTCAAGGCTAGCAGTCCACCACTTGAGCATAACTTCTGGCTTTTTCTGTTTATGTGATACTGAGGATCAAACCCAAGGCTTCATGCATGCTAGGCAAGCACCCTACCACTAAGCCACATTCCCAGCTCCATTATCATTATTTTTTCTTTTTTTTGGGTCTGGTCGTGGGGCCTGATTTCTGGATCTGGGTGCTGTCCCTCAGCTCTTCAGCTCAAGGCTAGTGCTCTACCACTGGAGCCACAGCGCCACTTCTGGCTTTTTTTCTTTTTGCTTATGTGGTGCTGAGGAATCAAACTCAGGGCCTTAGGCATGGAAGGCAAGCACTCTACCACTGAGCCACCTTCCCAGCCCATTATTATTTTTTTTAATGGAGAAAATAGTAATAGGGATTCTTAATTCTCAGTATCGTCATTAGCATTATTATGAATTACACTAAGCAGGGTGCTGGTGGTACTTGCTTGTAATCACGCTTGATCAGCGGGGGCCAGAAACCTCCACTAGACTCCATCACTCCCACTCCAAAGTAATTAAACAGCGAAAGCGGAGATGGAGGTGTGGCTCAAGTAGTAGAGTGCCAGGCAAATGGAAGACCCCAAGTTCAAACTCCTGAGTTCAAGTCCCAGGACTGCCACTAAAATAAAATTCTAACTTCAGTATATCCAATGATGAAGATATTAGGAGTTTCTTGTAACAGTGCCAGATTGGACAGTATCTGGTCTATTAGAGAATAGGACTATCTAATAGTGCTAGTGTCCATAATTCTCCGGAAAGAGCAGAAGACGCAGGTTTCCTCATCAGGTTTCCTTTGTACGCTGGTGTCTCCGTGCTGCCACGCTCTAAGTCATTACCACCAAGCCCCAGGAAATACCACTCGTCTGCACGCCCTTGCAAGACTCTTACTGTGTCATACACCCAGGGCCTTCCATTGTTTTACACATATTTCCTAGAAGGGGGAGGGCTGGAGGTTCGCGGAGTTTGCTGCCTCTGCTCGCTCTAGCGTGAGCGGTCGGGGACCGCGGCCCTCGCGTCACTCCGTGCGAAGGTCTGGCTGGAGCACCCAAGGGCCCCCGCACGTGACGGGCACGGCGCCCTCTCGGTCCCCCGGGGTCCAGGGTGCAGTAGCGCTGACGTCCTCCTGGTTACCCACAAGCCTCCGGGCCGCGCGGTGCGAGCAGGAAGAAGGCGGCGCAGACCGACGCCTGCCCGGGAGGTCCCGGCGCTTCCTGAAAGGGAAGCCGTAGCCGCCCGCTCTCCTCACACTGCGAGCCGGGGGCTTTCCGAGTCGTATGGGGCCGAAAGGGAGACTGCTCCCGCCCAGGTTCAAGGGCTGGATCGCTACCCTGGTCTCCGCAGGCCAACCCTCGGAGTTAGGACGCTCTTTTCTGACAGCTGTCGGACAGACAGCCGCGGCTGAGCCATCCCGCTCGCTCCGGGGTCTTTGGGAGCGCGTACTCAGGGCAGCTTCTTCCTCTTATTTAAGATCTGTAAGCAGGGCCACTCCGAGGGTACCAAATGGCATTGGATACGTGCGCTCACTAGGCACCGGAGAGCACGCACGAGCACGGTTTTACCTGGCAGGCCCAGCCCGGGCCCGCCTCGCCGGTCCTCTAAGTCTTGCGTCCGACCCTTTCGCCCAGTCCTGGGCCGTCCCTTTGCTTCATAGCCCGCGGCGCCGCGTCTGGTCTAGACGCTCACGCGCCCGCTCGTATTTCTGGTTCGGGCTCCGGCTCTTTTCCCTCCCACCCCCCCCTCCGCCCCCGCCCCCATCCTCCCCTCCCCCGTCGCGCGATTGACCGGGCCTCTTCCTCCTTTCGTCCCCAGCGCCCCTAACCCGAGACTGCATTTCCCGGCAGGCACCGCGGCTCGCGGCCAATGAGAGGCTGAGGATTTGGCGGCGGCGCCCCAAGAGCCGGGGTGGGGGGGGCTTTGTGCGCGGCGGCGGCGGTGTCGGCGGCGGCGGCGGGAGCGCGAGCGGGCGGCGGCACGGAGGCGCGGAGGCGGGGGCCGACGAGGCTGTGCGCGGGACGCCGCGGAGAGGTGTGCAGGTTCTGAGTAGAACCCCGAGAACCCTATCGCCCTGTCGGGCCGCCAGCCACACGCTCTTCTCCAGCACCAGCGGCTGCGCGGCGGCCCCCGTCCCGTCGCCTTCCTTCCCACTCCACCGCCCGCAGCCTTCCTCCACCCCGCAGCGCGGCCGGCCCGGGCCAGCCGTGGCCCACGTCGGTGCGGGCCGCCATGGCTGATGCGCCCGGCGCGGGGGAAATCTAGTCCGGGGATTTCATGCGGCCTAGCTTGGTTCCGTCTCCTACCCCCGCGGCTCCGGCAGCTGCCCGAACCCTCGCCTGACTCCGGGCCTCCGTGTCTCTCCTGTGATCGCACTGACACGGCCGGGGGGTTAGAATGGAACAAACTGAAGGTAAAGTGCGTGCGTGTGAAGGTGCGTGTGCATCTGTGTGTATGGCAAGGAGAGGTTTGAAGAGGAATCGGTGGGGTGGGGGCGGCCTAGGGATGGGGCACCCATAAGGAGCGAGACCCGGGGACGAGAGAAGCGGGTGGCCTGAAAGCGTTCGTGGGGAGTCTTATTGGGGAGAGCAGATGGCAAGGTGGGGGGTGTGGAAGGAATTGGGGGGTGGGGCAGGGGAGGTAGGATTGGGATGAGAGATGTAGTGGCTGGGTTGGGAATTGGGAGGGGAGGTGGGATGGGGGCGGGGATATAGGTGGGAACGGGGGAGGGGCAGGGAAAGGGGAGAAGAGTTAGATTTGGCGATTGGAGACATGGGTGGACTGCGAAATACGGAGGTCTGGGGCGGAGTGTGGGAACTGGAAGAGTCTGGGGGAGAAAGAGGGTAGATTTGATACAGAAGTGGGACATCTTACGAGAATCAAAGGAGAAACGAGGGAATGAAAGTGGAGGAAAAGATAAATTGAGAAAGGGATGAGAAATGATTGAGGCAGGATGCAAATAGGAAGATAGGAAATAGATGCAGAAAACTGAAACACACACGATTGGGTTTAAGTGAATGTTGGAAGGGATGGGAACGATCCACCAAGCGTCACTGAGTGGGAGGAAAAGAAGAGGATGGGGGTAGTTAAAGTGTTAGAAGGGGAAAGCCTTTTGTTCCTATATTTGTGTATGTTCTGATGCCTTTTATTTCAAGGCCAGAGAACAGAGAAGCTAGTGGTTATGGGGTTGTAAATTGTTGTGAAACGGGGGCGATGTGGGTGTTAGTGTTTTGAGGGAAGAGAAGATATGTTTGTGTTATGGTAGGGAGACAGGGAGAGGCATGGCCGTAATTTGATGGTTTGGGTGAGGGAGGGAAGACTATTCAGATTTAAAAGGGGCAGGGGCAGCCATGTTTGCTGCCAGGCACTGCAGTGTAAATAAATTCCTTTTCCTTCCCGACATCAGTGTGAATCTGGAAGAGGACAAGCTCACAGTGTTACTCTCCCTTCCCCCTTCTTTCTATCCATGAACTCTTCTTCCCTTACCTCTTGGGTCATTTACAGTTATCCATAACCACTGAAGGATATAGTGGTGTTTTCCATCTTGTGTGTTTTGCTGCTTCCCCCTCTCTTTCCTCTACCTACTGGTTGCAAACCAGGCATGCTGATGTGCTGCAGTGTAAAATTAAAACATTTTAATAAATCTAAAACTAGATTTTTGACTAGCCGAATGAATCGTTATTATTCTTCGTATTGAAAACATCGTGAAAAGTCTTTTAAAATATTGATTGGTTTCAGAAGCCTCCGAAGCAGTCAACATGTTTTCTGCAATTCTTTAAGTAAACAAGGAAATTGCATCGGTTATTTTACTTGGGGCTGTGCTCTTGGCAAAAGCACTGTGGGGGTGAGAAGGGGTAGGAAGATTGCCTGTGGGAGCTTATCTGCTTGCTGTATTTTCAGTGTTGGAAAATTAGAGATGTGTGCATCTTATTATTCTGATAGCTTTTAGTTATAAGGTGATAGGCATGATGAGAATAGTGTTTTTTATTTTAATGAACTCTTCCCTGTCTCTGCTTTCTGGTAGCTAGCTCAGTACACTGTCCCAAATGCCAGTTGAGCGGTGTAGTAGGCATGTAGTTCCTACAACCTTTCATTTATTCTTACAACCTTTCCTTACTCTTTTTAATTTTTATTTTAGTGGAAAGTCAGTTCACTATCAGGAAAGTTATTGTAATTCTTTATTCCAGGGAAACTACTTGGGTGATTTGAAATAGTATTATAGAAGTTTAAAAACTATTTACAGTAGATAAATTGATACCAGGTGGAGTCTGTTTCATTTTCATATTTTAAAGGATTAAATGTCTGCCTGACCTTTTTTTCATAGTTGTAATTGGAGTAATACATACCTAAAACCATCACATTGATAGTGAAACTCTTCTTACAATAGTGGAGGTTCTGTTAAAATTCTAGTTTGATAGAATCAATTCAGTTATACTATATATTGACTTAACTTTAATATTAATGTCCCATCAGTTGTTACAGAGTTTAGGATGTGTTCTTAGTTTAGTGGAAAAATTAAATTGGATAGTGTCAGTACTCAGTGTAAAGAGTAGATTGATAACTTGGACTGTTTTGATTTTAATAATATTAAGACTGTATTTTGTGAAAGTCTATGAAGATCTGTTCCATTCACAAGAGCCATTCAGCATGATTTTTTTTTAGAATTAATTTTTATGGAGATTTTTTATTTCTATTTCCCACTCAGTTGACATGTTATTTGTAATTAGTTGGCAGACTATGTGCAAAGAACTATCATTGCCACAAATTTTAGGAAAATGAGCAATCATTGTATATTAAACTAGAAAAGAAATCAGGCTGGAAGTTTGTATGAGTCATGTTCAGTATTCTGGTTCCTTTCAGATGAAATGGTATTTATTTAATTAAGATTACCATACTCACCTTTCTCTTTTTTTGGTTGGTCGTGGGGCTTGAACTCTGGGCCTGGGCCTGAGCTGTCAATCAGCTCTTCAGCTCAAAGCAAGCACTCTACCACTTGAGCCACAGCACCACTACCTTTTTTTGGGGGGGGTTATGGGGTTAAACTCTGGGTCTAGGCTCAGTCCCTTAGCTCTTCAGCTCAAGGGCAGCACTTTACCATTTGAGCCACAGGGCCACTTCTCGTTTTCTGGTGGTTTATTGGAGATAAGAGTTTCACGGCCTTTCCTGTCCAGGGTAGCTTCCAATGGTGATCCTCTGATCTCAGCCTCCTGAGTAGCTAGGATAATAGGGGTGTGTAGCTAGGATAACAGGCATGTGCCATTAGTGCAAATGTAACTTTTTTTTAAAACCTCAAATAGCAAATGTTCTTAAACTGATCACATTTATAGTTTCAGATAAAGGAAATTAGTTACCTGCATGATGATTTGAATCAGCTGTCCAATCTGATTGTAAAGATAGTAGCTTCTGGAGTTTATGATGATAGTCATAATAACCATATAACAGATGCTGATAGTATTCTTCTTGTGCTGTGCTGTGCTGTGTCTTATAGGTCTGATTTCTTCCTTTCTCTGAACAGTTTATGTTGTTAGTACTTTTAACTTCTTACAAATGGAGAAACCAATTTTAAGTAAAACACAAATGTTATTAAGCATTTAAACAGTCAGTACTTGAGTCCAGATCTTTTCTAATTATAGGACCTAGATCAGTAAACCTTTTCTTTTAGTTTCTTTTTTTAAAAATCATAAGAATACATGCTTGTTATTTGAGACTTCTTCAAATGTTATAGGAAACTGAGAAGTAAATAGTACTTCCAATTGCTCTACACCTTTGAAGTTGCTTTAGTGGCCTCCTAGGAAATTTCTGTGCACTTAAATGTATATTGCTCTTAAAATACATATGATGGGATCATTCTGTCTGTGTTTTGCTCTTTAGGGGAGTATGGTACTGGGAATTGAACCTAGGGCCTTACCTATACTAGGCAAGTGAGAGCAGCACTAGTCCATTTTTATCTTTATTTTGAGACAGGATCTTGTTAAGTTATTCAGGCTTACCTCAAATTCACCATCTTCCTAACTAGACCATTTTTGCTTTTGTTATTTTTCACATGAAGTCTTGTGTTTTTGCTGGGGCTGGCTTCATACCTATGGTATCTCATGTATCTGGAGTGACAGGTACACACTACTATGCAGGGCTTCTTGGTTGAGATGAGGTCTTGCTAACTTTTTGCAGGATTGGCCTAGATCCATATCCTAGGATTACTGGCATGAGCCACCACAACTAGCCCTTACTTTCATGTTTTAATAAGTTGTCTGGGACATCTTTTAAAATTAGCACACATGGTCCTACTGTTTAAGGTTATATAGTATTCCATTATTGGTAATATTGTTATTTGGATTAATGGCTTTTACTATTTTAAGTAATGTAGTTGACCCTAAATTACATTTCTTTTTCTTTCTTTTTTTCTTTTTTTTTTGTCAGTTATGGGGCTTGGACTCTGGGCCTGGGTGCTGTACCTCAGCTCTTTAGCTCAAGGCTAGCACTCTACCACTCGAGCCACAGCACCACTTCCAGTTTTCTGAGTGGTTTATTGGAGATAAGTGTCTCACAGGACTGACTTTGAACCGCGATCCTCAGATCTCAGTCTCCTGAGTAGCTAGGATTACAGGCGTGAGCCACGAGCGCCCAGCTCCTAAATTACATTTCTAGCAATTTGTTTAAATGAAAGATTATCTGACTTACCTTACATTAGAGAGAAAGCAGACTTACAAAAGGTAAGTCTAATAATTTGGTGACAGACTTGTTTCTTGGATCTTTGTATCACATTAGTTACTCTCTTGCAGTGAAAGTATTTGAGCTGTCTGAAAGCTGAAGGCAAGGGAAAATACCCAGAGTTAGCCACGTTTAGTATAATGAGTTGGAAGGGAGTGGGCTGGGATGTAGCTCAGTGGCAAAGTGCTTGTGTGGCAAGTGCAATGTCCTGGGTTCATTCCCCAGTACCAAAAATAAGAGGGGAGGGGGTATAAGTTATAGTGAGGCAAAGAATCTTGTTTATTTATACTTTGTCCAATATTTCATACATGCATCATATGTACAAAATATTCCTACATGCCTAAAGGAATTGTATCTAAGTTACCTTTTTTTGTTGTTGTTGTTGTTGTTGGTCATGGGGCTTGAACTCTGGGCCTGGGTGCCACTTCTGGTTTTCTTTTTTTTTGGGTCCGGTCGTGGGGCCTGAACTCTGGGCCTGGGTGCTGTCCCTCAGCTCTTCAGCTCAAGGCTAGCACTCTACCACTTGAGCCACAGTGCCACTTCCGGCTTTTTTCTTATGTGGTGCTGAGGAATCGAACCCAGGGCCTCGAGCATGCAAGGCAAGTGCTCTACTACTGAGCCACCTTCCCAGCCCCTGGTTTTCTGAGTGGTTTATTGGAGATAAGAGTCTCAGGGCCTTTCCTCCCCAGGCTGGCCTTGAACCTT